TACCGAGCCGAGTCGTACCACGCAGTGGAAAAGCGCCATTAGATACATACTGCGGTAGTAAAAAAATAAATAAAAAATTATATGATTTAGGTACGCAACATTGCACGAACAAAATGTTTCAACACGATTGCAATGTGATTTTATACAATAGTAGTTCAATAAACAAGAAGTTAAAATTAAGTGCCTTACATTTTAGACACAATATTGACTGTTTTTGCTAAATTTTGCGGATGAAAATTGCAATCGGTGCATCTCTAGTTTTGCCCAATGTTTTGTTGTTGCTATTTTTTCTGTCCAGGATGTAAAAATCATACATGTGATCACTTAAAGTAACAGCACACCTCTCTTTAGAAAGACAGCTTTTCAAATAAGAGAGTTTGGCTCTTCTGAGATGACCAGAGATTGCTGTTATCAGTTCGTTTATTTCTCGTGATTGTTGAGCTGATGTACTGTGAATGTCCTCCTATGTTTGCTCCACGTGTCAGTTTTTGAACGAATCAAGTGAGTCAATGATTCAGTAACCTATTCATAAAGACGGTAGTCACTTGCCTCGTTTCTAAATGAATCATCCATTTGAACGAATCTGTTGAATGAAAAACTAAATGACTCACTCATTCAAACGGTCATTTGATGCCACCTACTGGTTTGGGTTCATATTTAAAACTATCATTGCATTTCTCCCAACATTTCTTATTTGTGTTAAAAAAATATTAAAACATTAATCTTATAAAATTCTTTATGCATTTGAAATTTCTTGCAGTGGAAAAATTTGAATGATAACAGCTGACACATTTAATAAGGTTAGTGAAAAATTACAATTTAAGAAACAGTGGGAAATGACATCTGTTTTGTTAAATAGTGCAGCAACTCCTTTTCAGTTAATTGTTATTTCTACCTTTTTTTTCTAGTCACAGAGCACTTTATTTTGAGAGTTGTTTAAGTGAGAGAACAACTGTAACTTTATCCAGATTGGGGGAATTGTAATGTTTAATAATTTTTTTGTAAATATTTTTATTTTTTTTTTGCATTAAAAAGTATAGCTTTTTGTTTGTATATGCTGTCAATTATAGTTTTTAGAAAGAAAATCGGAATCGGCAAAAATCGGTATCGGCAGGTCACACTTACAAAAAAATCGGAATCGGCCAAGAAAATTGCAATCGGTGCATCTCTAGTTTTTTTTGGGGTCGATTCAACTGGTAGATTAATATAAACAGTTAAAAAGATTTCCATGTTAGCTGTTTTGAAACATTGTTTATTATGCCTTTGGTTTAACAGGAATCCAGAGGTTCTGGAGACATTTAATTTTTTAGAAAATGCTGACGATAGTGATGAAGAGGAAGAAGATGAGGGCGACATAATGGAGGACGTGCCTGACAGGAGCGATAAACGTAGAATAAAAAAACATAAAATTAAGGTGTGTAAAAATTTGAGTAATAATTATTTATTGTTCTCGGTATATGATTGTTGATGTAATATAGCCTATAACGATAACTTTTCCAGGTCGGAAATGAAGGTTTGGCTTCAGACTTACCGGATGACCCTGACACAGAGGAGGCACTCAAGGAGTTTGACTTTTTGGTAAACGCGGAGGATGGAGAAGGTGCCGGAGAGGCTCGGAGTTCAGGAGACGGCACAGAGTGGGGTAAAATAGTGCTTGCCAAAATCATAGACAAAATTGATTTTATAATCATTAATCATCGTGGTTTTTATGGCTGCTCGATTCCGTTACAGTTTAAAAAATGTAAATAGATAATTGTGACTTTTGGTCTCACAATTCTGACTTTACTTCTCAGAATTGCCAAAAATGTAAAAAATTTGGGGGGGTTTTTCTAGATTTTTTATTTTTTTGCCTGAATTGTGGAATAAAAAGTTGCAATTACCTTTTTAGTTTTTTATCCTGTGGCGTAAACAAGCTTCTACAGATTATAGATCTATAATGAAGTAGGGCACATCTCAAAGGAGCGTTTGTTTGATGATTGAGCAATGACTGCAGGTCTATTATCATGTAGGGTTAAAATAAGGCCTGCAATTAAAGTACTACTTCACCCAAACTAGAATATTTTGTTTTCATTTACTCGCCCTCATGTTGTTTCAGCTCTGTGTTTTCTTTCTTCCACAAAACACAAAAAGACATTAGGCAGAATGTCTATGCAGATCTTTGCCATAGAGTTAAAATGAATGGAGATTTATACTGAATCCAAAAAGTACATTAAACAGCACCAATAGGACATATAGTGCTGTATTTGTAATAGTCTGTTCTATTACAAGTTAATAGCGTTTTTATTGACTTATAATTTTTCTCTCTGCTGTCACATACACTATGGTTCAGAAGTTGGGGATCTGGAATTTTTTTTATGTTTTTGAAAGAAGTCTCTTATGCTCATTAAGTCTGCATTCATTTGAAGAAAACAGTAAAATGTTATTAATGTGAAATATATTGCTTAATTTAAAAATTACAACTTTCAGCAACCATGACTCCAGTCTTCAGTGTCACATGATCCTTCAGAAATCATTTCTTATTATTATTAATGTTGAAAACAGTTGCTCTCAATATGTTTGTGGAAACAGTAATACGTTTATTTGATAGAAAAGTACATAATAGAAAACTGAATAGAAAGAACAGCATTTATTTAAAATAAAAATTATTTGTAACAAATGTACACTTCAATTTAATGTGTCCTTGCTGAATAAAATCTTACTGACCCCAAACTTTTAAACTGTAGTGTGTCTAGACGTGCATCAACATGTGAATAATGACTTAAGCCAGTTGCTTACACAAAGCTGTCATATACGTCCAGAATACTAGGAATATAAGTGGTACTTCCTTAGTAAAAATCACTACCTACTTTCAGTCTATGAAACGAGCTGCTTGGCCATTCTGCAAGTTTTTATTAGGTTTCACACACACAGCACAAACCTCAAAAAGTATATTTTTGAGTGAACTATTTTCAACGTGTGCCTGCATGTGCATGCGTGTCCTTTGTATGTGCTTTGTGGCACACGCTAGCCCTGCGGTAGAATCTTAATTAGGCTAGTTTCTGCATCAGCATTCCTGCCAGCTTCCAGCACGGGAGATTCTCTTACTGCTCCGACCAGAGCCAGCTGGGTCAAACACATCAGCTCATTACATCCATCACACACCCTCACTTCTGCTTTCTTTATCTCTCACTCTTTTGTCTTACTCTCTTCTGTCTGTTCTGACCCACTTCTAAACTAAGGATTATGTAAATTAGGGCTGGAGATAGAGAAATTGTCACTGATGAAACTTGAAAACAATAAACATACGACTGCACAAAATATATGGCTTATCTGTGTTCAAGCAATCTTGGGTATTTTTATAAGGAATGTATATTTATAATGCAATGCCAATCGACATAGCCTTTATCACTGTATATAATTCTATCATTCTGTAATATGAAACCACGTCTGGTCACAAAACGAAGTTATTTCAACCACTCGACTATGTTATTAAGTTAATTTGGAGAAAAAGCATGTCAATAAATATCTTTGTTGGATAACAGGTTTGTAAACAGGCTCATACACATGCAAAATTGTATCGCACACTTGCTAATGTACAGTAGTACATTTATTTAAGGCTCAGACCGATTTTTTTTTTGTCGCACTGTACAGTAAATCCCTGACCAAACCAGTTCCAGATTGTAAAATAGATCAACTCCTCAATTTCACATCCGCCTCGCTCCGCACTGTCACACACAGAAATATGTCAACAAATAGGCTCGTTATATCGCGGGAAGACTAATTCTTATCGTGGGGAGAATTTTTCCCGGTATATCGCAAACGATAAGATATCGCCCACCACTAATGTAAATGTCACCATAAATATGACATGTATTTTTGGTAAAGAGGCACATATGTGAAGTCCGTGTCACCCTTAAATCAAGACATTTATTACCATAAACGCTCTGTATATTTTCTTATCACTGTATCTATTAGGGTTGCACAGTGTATTTTATATAAAAGATAAAAATATATAATATAAACAATTACTTATTGAAGCACTACAAATTGTATTTAATGAAACATTTATTAAAAAGAATAAATATTTCTAACAAATATACACTGGAAAACAATGGATAATTTTTTTTTTTTATATATATTGCAAAAAAAAATAATAATTGATTATTCTACCTCAGTAATTGAACCAAAATTGAGGTTAATGTTTACTTACTCCATAAACTTACCCGGTTATGCCAAATAACCTGCTTTTTGGGATACCTCATAGAGCAACCAGAGGCTAGTGTGATATTAAAGCCAAAATCTTGCTATTGATCCAACCCATATTATTACTTTAGATGTATGTTCTGTATTACACCCTCACAAAACGGTTCAACTGCTGATGTATGTGTTTGTTAAACAGTCTTTTTCTTAAGCCCTGTTTTTCAATCCTAAGGTGTGGCACCTTGTTTACTGGGCCCTTCTCTTCTCTTTCCTATTCTTAGCTGAGCCTCTGCCATTCACGCCTGGTGGGGGCAAGTCCTTTATCATGGGCTCTGATGACATGTTGGAAAGTGTGCTGGGCCTGGGAGACCTCGCAGATCTGACTGTGTCCAATGACGAGGCTGAATACAGCTATGATGTAAGTACCCCACTGCTCTTCTGCTTTAATAATACTATTCTGGCATTAATAAATAATAGACTCTACTTTTAAAAAAATGGTCTGTTCCATGCTCAATTTTTAAATACAGTCTACATTTTGTTAACCAGTTAACAGTTATAAAAACAGCCGGTACTGTTTACTCAAATGTCATGTACTATATTAGCTTCATTCTGTATAAAGGTTACAGAGGACCGAAGTTGTCCAAGCCGGTGTGGTTTGCTGTGCACTCAAATAGGACAACTATCCTAATGCCTCACAGTCAGTCGACCTGCAATTTCCAGGTTTCATTTCACAGTTGTTAAAATGCCTCTACAACGACCCTTCCCCCCACCCTCTATTTTTAGCTGCCAGCCAATAAGGACGCGTTCAGGAAGACATGGAATCCCAAATATACCCTGCGAAGCCACTTTGATGGAGTGCGGGCCTTGGCCTTCCATCCTGTGGAACCGGTGTTGGTCACCGTCTCAGAAGACCACACCCTCAAACTGTGGAACCTCCAGAAGACAGTTCCTGCCAAAAAGTAAGTGCTTGCTGTGGCTTTCCAAGAATCGCGATGTCTTAGGATTGCTTTTAATCTTTAAAATTATGTCTCAAGAAGCACATTGATTTTATCATGCAACATTATTGTTTCAAACAAACTGCTAAACAAAGTTTCATCTTGCTTTGCAGAAGTGCCTCTTTTGATGTGGAGCCCATATACACGTTTAGAGGGCATATGTAAGTATTGATTTCATGATATTGACTTTTTATACTTTTTTTTTTTTTAAACCTGCCTGTCAAACATTTCAAAAATGTTAGCCTCCAAGATTGACAAATAGCCATTGGTAAGCAGATTTCCTTACGAGAGCAACAAAAATGGATGCCGAGGTTGTTGTTGTCATTCCAGTTTATCCTAAATGTGTTGAGGAGAGTGAAAGTGTTGTGACAGTGTGGACAATACTGTACATGTAAGCATTGCCACAACCTTATGGGTTCAGAAAGGTAGCATTCTCCTGGCCTCTGCTAAGCCCATCCATGATGGTTACATGTGATCCATAACTCCAGAGGATGTTCCCACAACACACCAGCCAAAATGTGCATGGTGATGTTAGATATTTAAAGATGCATTCACTAAGTTTTTTGTTTGCCCTTACTCATGGCTGTGCTCTAATACTCTATACTGACACCTACTGGTCCGGATGCTTTAAGTTTATTCATTTCTGAGATTTCTTGCCAGAGCTGTCATAGCTGTCAGAGCTTTTGCTGTCATACTACAAACATTTGTGTATTCAATCCCAATGGTTATTGATATATTGTTGGTGGAAAGCAGTTTGCTGCTGCATTACACTATAAACAGTCTAGCTGCTTGAAGTCCCAGTATATTTACTCGTTATTATGGTTAGTAATAATGTAGCTGGTCAATTGCATGACACAGAGGATTGTCATGTGATGCCAACCTGATGCAATAGGGTCTGGCTGCAGACATGCACTTGCACTCTCAGACTTGCACTCTCAGACACCTGCACTCCCGCAATTGACATCACTTGCAGTCTTTCTTTGTTTAATTTAATTGATTAGTTATTTTTTTTATTGAATCTCTCAACATTTTACACAAGTAGCCAGGTGGTGAAGACAAGAAAAAAAGAAACTAAATCACGAAGTCACTTGCAATCGCCGCTTGCACTCTACTTGCAATCCACACGAATCGTTCGTGTTGCCAATGGAGACAAGACGCTGTGGTGGTTAAATGATTAAAACTAATTTAGTACTATAACATACAGGGTACTGCACGTCATCTGTAGGAGAAAAACGTAATGCATTAAGTCATATTAAGTGTGTTTTTCAATGGGAGGAAAACGCTTAACGAAAGACTTTGCACATTGCGTTCATATTCTGCGGCCACGGATTTGCTATGCTATTATTATTGCTATGCTTTCTGTTGTTTAATAGTGACACTATCAGGATGACCCTTTTTGTAAAATTCACTGTTTTTTTTTTGTTTTGTTTAAAAGTATGAGGTTGGTAAGATTTATTAGTCTTTTAAAAAGAAGTCTCTTATGTTTACTAAAACGGCATTTATTTAGTCCAAAATACAGTAAAGCCGCTAACATTGTGAAGTGTTACAATTTAAAATGTTGTTTTCTTATTTTATATATTTTAAAATCACACAATCGTTCAGAAAATATTCTAATATGCTGATTAGCAGCTCAAGAAACATTTCTTATTGTTATCAATGTTGAAGTTCACTGCTTCATATTTTTGTGGAATCCATGATACTTTTTTTTTTTTTCAGGATTCTTTGATGAATAAAAGTTCAAAAGAACAGCATTTATTAGAAATGCAAATATTTTGTAAAAATGCAAAAGTCTTTCAGTTTTGATCAATTTAGCGCATCCTTCCTGAACAAAAGTATTCATTTAAAATAAACGCAAAATCTTGCTGACCCTTTTTGACGACTTTTGAAAGGGAGTAAGTTTTTTTTCAATTTAGTAAATTTGCATCTTAATCTTTCCTTTTCTTCTCCAATCAGGGTTCACGGCCATAACAGCAACCAACCCGATTTGGTTGATTAAGACGCGTCTACAGTTGGACGCCAGGTAAAGTGGCAACAGATATGTGACATTATGTACAAGTAGATTGTTTGATTAATATCCTTAGTGACTGATTCCTTAGTTACAGATTATAGTTTTAACATGATCTAATTATTCATGATTCCAGACTAAGTTTTGTATTTGACTCACTTAAGCGTGTTTTGTTCTTCACAGGAAGCGCGGGGAGCGTCGCATGAATGCTTTCGAGTGTGTGCGGCGTGTGTATCAGACGGATGGGCTACGTGGGTTTTACCGCGGCATGTCTGCGTCTTATGCAGGCATCTCAGAGACCGTGATTCACTTTGTGATCTATGAAAGCATAAAACGGCGTCTTTTAGAGGCCAAAGCAGCAACGCACATGGATGGGGCTGAGGACACTGCCAAAGACGCATCGGACTTCATGGGCATGATGCTGGCAGCCGCCACTTCCAAGACCTGCGCCACCTCCATAGCCTATCCACACGGTGAGCATGTGCTTGGGCATTTTCCCATCAGAGCACCATATCATCATAAAATCAGCATGAAACGTCATTCACAACCTATTTTACTTCCATAATGTGACCCCATTCAAAACGTTTGAATGCTTTTATTAAGCTAGGATGCATTAAATTGATCAAAAATGACAGTGCAGACATTTACAGTGTTTCTGAGGGTCTTAAAGTCTTAATTTACCGTATTTAAAGCCTTAAACAGGTTAGAAATCTGAGCAGAAAGTCTTATTTTTTCTTGTCTTCACCACCTGGCTACTTGTGTAACATGTTAAGATATTCAATTTAAAAAATAATTAATAAATTAAATTAAATAAAAAATAAAAAAAGACTGCAGTGACGTCACTCGCGGAAGTGCAGGTGTCTTGAGAGTGCAAGTCTGAAAATGCAAGTGCATGTCTGCAGCCAGACCCTTCTCACCTGATGTGCTGCCCATAAGGGGGCGACCTGCTTATTGTAGAACAGTGGTTCTCAATCATTTTGACTCCACAGTTGTCAATATATAGTCCCATCAGGATAAAAAAATAATAATTTACCTATTTTACCATGTTTTTATTTTTGCAATTTCTACAAAAAAATAATTTTAGAGCTTGGCATAACAAAAAGTATATTTGTTATAAAAAAAATGGCCACTGTTGAAATGAGCATTGTGAGAATCGTGGGTCTTCAAAAGCAAAAAAAATTAATATATATATAGCTGCATGCAGCAATTATGGGGCCAAGCCCATTATGGCCATTTTTGACATATTTGAATCTTAGATTTTATTTGGATACTTTTAAACAATGTATAGTTCCCATTAGGCCTGGGCGATAAATGGAATCGATATTTATCGACGGTACACCTTCTTCGATATCGATAGAAAAAATGTTCGATATAGCGCACAATATAGGCACGTGCTATGAGTGACGCAGACAGCACACACAAACACGAACACATGCTGAAATGAGTGCTGTGCCTGCCTGTGATGAGGAGATTGTGAATAAAGAATGAATATTAGTCGAATTTAAAATAAACATTTGCATTTGAATGTTAGGTGTGCGTCAGGGTGCGTCATCAGTGGCGCGCGAGATGTGGTGATGATGTAAGTGACGTTGTTGCATTTTAATGTTTTGTTAGTCTAGCCCACGAGATGCACCGCTGTGTTATGCATTCAAAATATTAGAGAAATATAGAAGCTCAATGCGGAGAAGATCTTGATTAGGTTAAAACCGAAACCAAGCCATTCACACAGAACGCATATTCAGCGCATTTTTAGACGGACAAATATGACTGCTGCACTCGCGTCTCACAGAAGAGATGTATAGAAATCCATGCAAAGTTAAAACAGTTTAAACTTTTAGAAAACACGTCACGAATTTGTGGAGGGATAATTCCTTTTCACTGCGTATCATATGTTTTTAAATGCAGTCTGTGTGAATGGCGCTTCGGTTCTTTGGATTAAGCAATGCATAAATACATGATGCTGTTTTGTTCATAATTGGTTATGCAATTTACGAAATTATATTTGATTTTTATGAGTTAATTTAGACGTAATGCACGTTTTTATAGAGTTACTTCCTTGCGTTGACAATTTAAATGCGCTGCATTATTTTGCTCATTGCGCCCTCCTGTGGCCTCGGGAGACAATTAGACCTATACAATAAAGACCTATTTAATCTGCATATAAAACATTAGAAATTAGATATTTGTTTAATTTTTATTGTGTTTGATTGTTAAAACAAAAAACATTTGTTGTTTGTCTCAATAAATTGTGTTAATTATAAATACAGTGGTTAAATTAAAAAAAAAAATTCTGTTGCTTTTTGTTTTAAAAAAGGTTATAAAAATGTCAATAATTATCGATACCGAACAATATGAAACATTATATCGTTGATACATTTTTTTAGCTATATCGCCCAGCCCTAGTTCCCATGGTTAAACACTTGCTACACATTGAATTTGTAGAAAATCTTCAAAGCTTTAGCCTTTTGATTTACACAGCATGCCGCTCATGCACTGTAGTTTGTTTAATTTTACAGAGACTTGAGTTGTCAAAGGTAGAACTGCAGCAATTGGCTCCAAGTGACACAACATTACACACAGTTATATAAAGTTGTACTACACGGGATTAGAACCCACAATCTCTGGGTCAGGTGCCTGCAACTCATTTCATCGTGCCACTGAGAATACGTGGGTTTATGCAGAACCTGAAGCTCCGTAATTCAAGTGACAATCAACTCAAAATTAAGATTTTGTATATAAATGCACCAAAGGTAGTATTTATTAAGCTCAGATGAGATAATACTTAGAAAAGCACTACATCTGGAAAATAAGTAACTTCAGCATCATTTCTTGCCACAGTACCTATGATGGTCTGGGAATATGCCACACTGGATTCAAACCCATGGCCTGAAAGGTTCGGGGGCAGGTGGCTTAGCAGAGTGTGCCACTCAGTTGACGCACATTCAACGGGCTGATGAGGAGAGGTTTAGGTGTGAGAATGAGCTCCCAAAAAAAGTTATTTAGCATTTTAACCAGAGTAATATGCAAAGTTAAGTTAATGGTAATGCAGCTTATGATTAACTTGACAGCTAAAGAGTCACATTAAACAGCATAGTAACTTGTTAGCCTGTAACTTATTAGCATATTAAGCTTAATAGCATAAGACAACAAACACAGCACGGTCTACTTTAGAGAGGTATTTCTTGGGAATGGTAGTGAATATCAAAAATATATTCAGTTATTTCTATGTGGCACGGTCCAAAGATCATACGATCAGATTTTGGACAAAATTGGGCAAAATTTGTAGGAGGAGTAGCAAAAAAACTTTTTAATTTACTTCAATATGGCTGGCAAGCACATTCATGGAAAATGACAAATTAGACATCGTCAGAATTGGCATAACCCAGAGAATGAAATTATATTAAAACATCATTTGGATAATAAAAGTTACAAGTGTTTTTGTAAAAAATATTATATCTCTGGAACACTAGGTGGCACTGTATTCAAACGTCTCAGGTACCTCCGGGACAGGCCACTGATGATCCCAAATATATGTCAAATGGTTCAAAAGATATAGCAATTTATGTCAAATTTCAAAATGGCGGACACATGGTTTAGCATGGCAAAATTGATATCCTCAGATTCGGCATGACCCAAGGAATCCATAGTTAGTCAGAAAATCATGATCTTTGTGTCTGTTCAAAAATTATAAGGTGGTGGTGGCGCTATAGAGTTGGTCTTAGAGACCCCAAAGTTGGTCAGATCACTATTCATGGCCATCACTACATTTGTGCCAATTTTCATAATTTTCCTGTTCTGTTCATAGGGCTGCCATAGACTACCATTAAAGAAAAATAATAATAAAGAAAACATTCAGATACAATAGGGACTACAGCCCTTCGGGCTTGGCCCCTAAAAACATTTGCTGAGGAGGTGAATTAAAAAAAAAAAAATATTTAGATTTGTTATTTTAGCTTATTTTAATACTTGTTTTGTCTTATTTTAAAATCATTTCAATAAATAGCTTTTTATAGAAGACTTGGATATCTTTGTCTCATGTGTCAGGATACATTATTTTGTTCAAAAGGGCTTTTTATTTCTTTAGGGTTAATTTTTTTTTTAATTGGCAAAAGTGCACCTTTCTATGTCATAAAGCTCTTGATAAGCTTCTCTTCAGTCATTGCTGTTGTTTGGAACTGGATAGTGAGTGTGTTAAATGAGGGCACATGATATTTACACTCTTAAGATCTCGGTCCTGTCCCGTGAGCATGTGTGGTCTACAGTTTCACTGTTGTTGCTCTAGGATGTTTCCACATCACACATATAGCTGATCAGGGCAAGACTTTAACTAACAAAAACTACTGGCACTGTTTGACTAAAATATTGTATTACTGTTAGGGCTGCACGATATATCGTTTCAGCAGCGATATTGCGATGTACGCATCCGCGATAGTCACATTGCAGGATGTTTGATGTTTAGTATACTGATCGTTATATTTATACTGATCGTTTTCTTTGCTCACACACAGACACTGTCTCTACACCGGATGCGACAGCTGTCGTGTTGTGCCGCCCAGCACCGCAACAGCTATAGTCTACTCTGGACGTGACAATGCGACCTTTGCTAATCATTTGAATTTTGTGCCAGTACACCATAAATAGAACAAGGCATGAGTTTTGTCGCGTCGCACCGCGCCGCTCGCATCCGGTGTAGACACGGTGAGAGCTGCACATGAACACTGAATTCTATTTGTGCCTGAAATAACACATACGCACGAAATTGTCAAAATGCATGTCTCTGCAAGTATCCCTGTAAACACAGTTGCTTATGGTTAACAGATTTTAACACAGATTTATTAGATTTATACAGTGAAGACTATGCAGTGTTATTTTACATTTGATTATTCAATTTCTGTACCCGAATACTGTTAGACTTACCTGAAAAATATAAAGCACCGTTTATTTCATTTGTATCTTTGTTCTATTATATTTATCTATGCTTGTAATTTGTTTATTTTCTATGCTGATTTACTTACCTACAAAATCACCCCAATCATTGATTATTTTTTTCCAAATAGAGCTATTCAATTCATCTGGTGTTTTTTTTTTGTTTTTTTTTTTCATATCGCAATATATATCGCAGAAAAACTAAATATCACAATGTGAGTTTTTTTCCAATATCGTGCAGCCCTAATTACTGTGTATTTCAATTAATGCACCTTCGTGGCCCCCAGAAAGTATTTGGACACACCAGAAACATTTAAGTGTTTGAGTATCATTGCATTAGACACAAAATATTTCTTTTACTGGTTTTTCATAAACTGCCAGAAAAAAATTTTACACTTGATTTGATATTTTCTTTTCAAATGCATTGACATCCATAAAATTTGATGTGTCCCTAAGCACTTTTTTAGGGCCCCTGAATAAACAATAATGTAATCTGCTGAATCCACCAATTCAGTTTTTCAGACAGTAATATTTTGTCTCACAAATCCTCTTAACCTGTATGATTTGTTGCTGCAGTGGGCCTGTGCTCTCATTGACTGTGACCTCGAGCGGCGAGCACTGTTTTAGTGGTGGAATCGATTCAACAATACAGTGGTGGAACATCCCCAGCTCTAACGTAGACCCTTACGACACATATAGTGAGAAGATCAAATCTATGTGGCTATGTCACATCTTATTTTGATTAAACTTAAAAACAAGCAAGAATTTAAAAAGAGGAAACCTGCTCTATGTGTGTCCTCTGTTTCACTCAGACCCCAGCGTGTTGGCTGGTACGTTGTTGGGTCACAGTGACGCAGTGTGGGGATTGGCTTACAGTGGAATCAAAGAGCGACTGCTCTCCTGTTCAGCTGATGGGACGATCAAGCTGTGGAACCCTCAGGGGAAGTCACCATGTCTCAGCACATTTAACTCAGATAGAGGTGAGCATAATGTATCTTGTTTGCACTGTTCTGTAATCAATGAAGTGTTGGCAAACTAATTTCTGCATTTCCTGTCTTTCAGGTCATGGTGTTCCCACATCAATTGATTTCAATGGGTGTGATCCAGCTCATATGGTGGCATCCTACAACACGGGAGATGTTGTCATTTATGATCTTGAGACATCACAGCCTGTCGTGGTATTCTCCGCACAGGGCGAGAGCGGTACGTCCTTCACATTTGTTCTAAAAAAGACAAAGTACACTTGTGGATATGTGATAGTTATATATAGTTCAGTAATTTAATTACAGGAGCGTGAGAATTGGATTTGTCATGTTTACTTTCTTCTGCTTTGTTGCAGCTATTCCTTTTGGGAATCACATTAATAAAGTAGTCAACCACCCCACCCTGCCAATCACAGTCACCGCTCACGAGGATAGACACATCAAATTCTTTGATAATAAATCAGGCGAGTTTTTTTTTTGTGTGTCATTATAAAATATCATTATAAAATATTCATGCACTACTGTTCACTAGTTTGTTGTCAGTACGATTTTTATAATGTTTTAGAACGAAGTCATATGTTCACCAAAGCTGCATTTATTTGATGAAAAATACAGTAAAACAGTAGTATTGTGAAATGTTATTACATTTTCCATTCAAATATTTTTAAACTGTCATTTTTAAAATCTAAAGATACTTTAGTCTTAGTGTCACATAATCTTTAAAAAAATCATTCTAATATGTTGATTTGGTGCTTAAGTAACATTTCTTATTATCACAGCACAAAATCACTGCTTAAAATTTTTGTATAAACCATGATACTTTTTTTTTTCAGAATTCTTTGATGAACAGAATTAATTTGAGAAAGAAATCTTGTGGAATATTATAAATCAATTTAAAATATCCTTGCTGAATGGAAAAAAATTGTATTTCTTACAAAAAAAAAAAAAAAGACTTTTGTATGTCTGAATTTTTTGTTGTTTTTAATATTATTAATTATATTCATAACTTACATAACTATGCTTTTTATACTCCCATTTTGTTTTAGTTGTTTATTTAAAATCTCAGAAAATATTTCAGTGTGTTATTTGTTCATAAAACATTTTTGTTCAGTTATATTTAGCCAGAAGTCACAAATATCCAGAGAAAAGTTAATGATTTGTTGAAGTCATGTTTGGGATTATTAATCACCTTCCATCCATCTCCCTTTGTAGGTAAAGCCATTCATGCAATGGTGGCTCACTTGGATGCTGTTACTAGTCTGGCTATAGATCCAAATGGCATCTACTTGATGTCAGGAAGTAAGTGTTTTTTTTTTTCTTCTTCTTCTTCTGCTACTGTATCAGCGAAAGTCATAGCGATTATAATTTTTTTTTAATTTTCTGCTGAATTGTCCCTTTAAATATAAACTTAATGTCTCTTTTTCGTCTAAAACAGGTCATGATAGTTCCATCCGCTTGTGGAACGTGGACAGCAAGACATGCGTACAAGAGGTTACTGCGCACAGGAAAAAGTCGGACGAGGCCATATACGACGTTGCCTTCCACCCATCTAAGGCATACATAGGAAGTGCTGGAGCCGATGCCCTGGCCAAAGTGTTTGTATAAAAGCACCTCCGAATTAATGCATACGTAAAGACGAGAGAAAGAAAGGACTGCTTCACTGCCTTGTGTAACAAGAGTAGCATTTCTCACACTACATTGAAGTGGCTTCCACCTACGCTGTCAAACTCACACCACACACACACGATACCAGGTGCCAAGAGGGGGACATGCCGTTTTTTTGCGAAGCCAGTGTGGAGTGCTCAATCAGTTTTAATCTTTTTTATGTTTTCTTCAAAAAAAGAAACAAATTAACTGTAATTTACTGTAAGTCAAAGCTGGAGTGAAACCAGTGTTTGTAGCCTTTTGACTGGTTTTCAAAAACTGAGCTGATAATGTGTCCTGTAGGTATGTTTCAGTGACCATGGAGTGGTTATCATGTTCATCCATCAGTAGGTTGTCACCGATCATCATCCGGGCACCAGAGGAACTGAGTCCCGCCCTGCCGAGCCATAAACCAGACCCTAATCTCAGTCACCCTCTTCACCCTAATGTAGCGTGCCAGCGAATACCGTTAAACTCAGTCAACCTTCATACCTTTAGCGTTTAATTTTTTTGTGTAAAAAAGTATAGATTTTATAATCAATTTTATATAAATAAAGACTGTCATAAAACCGCTGGAAATCACTTTTTTTTTTTAAGGGACTATAATCCCACTCAAGCCCTCCATTTTATGCAGTTCTTCTTCTTGAAGGTCTTGTGTCTCTGGAAACCCTGGATGAGTGCTCTCCTTAGGCATACTACATTACTTTAACATTGTTTTAGCACATAACGGAGAGACTGTACGCTAGTAGAAGCACATCGCGTGGTGCCCTGAGAGCTTTTAGGAATTCACAAATAAACTGCAGCATCCTGTCACTATGTGATGTTTCTGTACACCTTACTGTAAAATGAGTTTAAGTATCACAGGTTAGATATCCAAACACTATTTATTTTCTGTTTGTGGATAGTCTTATCCTTCAGAGCATAGCTTGATGGTAACTCAAAGATTGGGCATTCGCTAACCAAACCGAACCGGTTATCTGATAGGAAATTAACGTATATAGGTTAATATGAAAGCTCATGCAGTTTCTTGGTTGGCTGAAAACTGGGTTTAAATTCACCTCATGATGCTGGAGAGCAGGAGAGAAGCGATAAATTAAAGGGATGGTTCAACCCAAAATTAACAAATTATTTTCTCATGTCATCATTTACTCACCCTCATGTCATTACAGACCTGTATAATTGGAACACAAAAGCTATTTTGAGGAATGAAATGGAACTCAGTGGAATGTTGGTTACCTTACAGGTTTGGAATGAAATGAAGGCGAGTAATTGATAGTTTTCATTTTTGGGATTGGAGTAATCAATCAAATGTATTCGAAATATTTGGTTTGGTCGTTCTGCCCCAATCTGTTCAATGATTTTTTTAAAGGAAACTGCAGTTTATGGTGTAACAAAATACCTTTTTGTTTGTGTAATGCATGGTTAATACTACAATAAAGTATTTTTTCTAGTCTTCCAAAAGTTCTGATCAGTTTGAAGAGTTTTGTAAGGTTTTGATTTACTACGAATCAACAGATTTTAAAGATTGTACCACATAGCAAAACAGCTGTTGAAAAGTAATGTATATAAAATGTCTATAATAAATATTAAATGGTGTATCTGTATATGCAACATGCCCCTTGTCTCGACAATTAATGCAGCGTTGTATTTATCGCGATATTTGATTGACGAATGACGATTGGCAGGATTCACGATTTTAATAAAGATGGTACGTGTTTTTACTGAGATTGAACAAACCGCCTACTACACAAATTAATACACGTGTTATTTGAATATGTTCAAGTTTCTGATGATGATGATCAGCCTGTTCAGATGAGGATGATGTTCAGCTGGTCAAGTTGTACAAACGCCTTGTCCTTTATTGAGAAGAAAGTAATAAATTATAAACAAATGTACAAGCAGTTTGACGCCCCTCCTGCCCTCTGTTTTCATTACTTGAGACAGTAAAGCATGCATATGGAAAGGTACACAGAAAATAGGTTCGATAAATACATTAAAGTATAATATAAGAAAAGGAAAACATGATATAGAATAAAAACGTTAACTTTTCAACCGTAATTCTCATCGCACATCCAGACATACGTAATTGATTGTGATGTTGTGAATGTACTGCAGTGCATGTATATTGTTTGCTACTCCTGGGAAGGACTATTTTATTATATAACCCAGATCTATTTATGCAATTGTGTGAATGAAAGCTGTGTATTTGTGTACTGCCATCAGAATGCATATGAGGGCGCTGTTTTACTGACAATCTTCATCATGACTGCTTTTGCTTACCATCTTGTGCACAACCTGCATAACTAGAATTGAATCTTCAAGTCCCGAAATTAATATAAAAGAGCCTTTTGTTACAGTGACCCCTCCACAGGAAAAAAGACGTGCCAGAAGCAGCGAGTGAATGTTTTTCACCAGCAACATAAAGAGAAAGACTATAAATCACAAATAATTACATTCTCCACATTATAGAGAGGTTGACATACAATACTGTGTGATACATTCTCAATTAAGCTGTAAAATCCTTTGGATCAAACGTACCAATACCTTTATAACAAAACCATTAAAATCCCTTTTTCTGCAAAAGACAAAGGTGATTTTTCTTATTCAGGCTTGCCCTTTTTTCCTCCTTCCTTTCCTTCACTTCTTACTTTCTGTTCTTGCACTCAAGCAGTTGCACTGTCTAATTGAACTCTGTAAAGTCCCTGCAGATGCCCCGTACTATGGGCTGCTGGAACTGCGCCAGGCCGGTGAACTCGCGAGTGAAAAACACATGGCTTTCCTTGGGCTCGGACGCCATCGCCTTCAGATCTTCCATCGGAGCCCAAGCTACGCCCACTGTAAACACAGTGATTCCTGTGAAGAAACAATTAGAACATGGTCAAGATTTCATCACACTTGTTTACTTTGTAAATGCACTATTGATATTTTGTGCATTAGAGATAAAGTGCTTTTTAGAGCTCTTAAATGTTCTAGAACTTCAGACCCAGGGACCCCCACCTACACCCTTACCACCTCAGGGACCATCACTATAAAAATAAGACTTAATTTAGTTGGTAACACTTAATTCTAACTTTAAATAAGAACATGATCTTCTCTACTGAGCCCCTGGACCCTCAGGGGCCTGCAAACCCAGGTTCTAGATGAAATGTCAGTGTAAAAAGCATACCCTCCCTCTGGGCGGCCATAGCCGGCCCTCTCACATCATCGTAAGACTGTCCATCAGTGATGATGATGAGGAAATTCCTGTTGGGGCCTGTGCGGGGTTTAAAGAGACTCCGCACTGCAAAGTTGATGGCGTCTCCCGTGGCCGTTCCTCCGCTCATGTACGGGATGTTCTGCAGGGCCCTCAGAGCATTATCTTTTGTGGTGTGGTCATTGAAGTTGAACTCCATCCTTTGGTCGTATGTGAACTGAATGGCACCGATGCGAGAGCCGATGTCAGAGATGTCAAAGTTGCGCGCGATAGAGAGAAGAAGGTCCAGAACAAGCCGAAAGTTCCCATCACCTACGCTGCTGGAGCCATCAATCAGGAAGCCCAGGTTCACTGAGTTATAGCATGTCTTGCTGCAGAGCATCTGATCGATGGAGCAAAGTTTATGAGCTAGTGGCTTCACAAACTTGTTGGTGCTGAACCAGCTGGGCATGGTGAAGGTGAAGAACTCGTTGTCCTTGCACACCGCCTGTCAGATATATGTCGGTATAAATGGATTTCAGAAAAACTCTGATGTTACCAATAAAGATTTGTTTTTTTCGTATGTGAAACATCTTACCTTTCTCATGAAGTCTTGCTCGCTCACCAGGCTCATCTCCTCAGGAGCAGGTTTGGCCACAGACACAAAGAAGATGTTAATACCAGACTCTCTGGCTAAAATTGCTGCCTCCTCCACATTATCAGAAGGCCACCCATCGACAAACACCACAATGACCCGTGGGTAACCTCTCCGAACACCAAAATCCGGACTGAAGAAGTTCCTCACAGTGTGTAGTATGGCCTTACCTGTGCAAAAGGCAATAACTCAAGCCTGCCAAGTTCTGCTTATTGAAGCCAAAGCACCTTCAATAATAAATCAATCCAACTAAAGCCATTATGTGTCAGAGATATAAGGAATGAGTTTAATACAAGATATTCTATATTGACACTATCTATGACATGCTGTCAATTATCAAACAAAAGCATACTGACTGTAAAAACAAGTAAAAAAATGCATTTAGAGTAATGCATTTACAACGGAAATCTATGGGGCAAGGCATTTTAAAGGTTTCAAAGCACAAATGTAAACATTTTTGCATGCTGCATTGTTATACCAGTAGCAACAAGTGACTCTCTTTTTAAGTGATTAATTTATTCAACCAGTTCCACAAAACTTGACTGCCTTTGAGTAACTGAATCATTCACTCAACCGATTTGTTAAAAAAAAACACTCTTTCGTTCAGGAATGTTTATGACTGAGTTATTAAATCATACACTCAACCAATTAGTTCAAAACACTGATGTTTGTTTCCCAGAGATGCGCAAATGCGGTGGCTTCATTTAGAACTGCTTTCTTTAGCAAAAATAGGCAAAGTTGCTGGTAGCACTGAAAACGGGGTTTTTCTTTCATATTGACTTTAAATGTTTAAAGAGTAGCTCACCCCAAAATGAAATTCTGCCATCATTTATGCATGATGGAAGTCAGCGGGGACCAGCAACTGTTTGGTTACCCACAATCTTCAAAATATCTTCTTTTATGTTTAACAGAAGGAGGAAATCCATACTGTTTGGAACAACTTGAGGGTGAGAAAATGACAGAATTTTCATCTTTGAATGAACTCTCTTTAAGTCTTGTAGTTGTACTTTCAAAAAGGTGTGTATTTTAACATGTATTCCGGGACCTATTGATTTCCATTGTAAATGTCTTACTGTCAATGGCAATTTTTTGTTGTGTCATTTTATTTACTTTTCCAAAAAAAAATAGCATGATTTAGATTCATTTCATCCAATCATTCATTTGAAATGTGAATAGAAGGTGAGGTTGTAGACCTGTATTGGTATTGCCCCCAATGTATGGGATCTCTTTGATGGCAAAAGTCACATCTTTGGCTGTTGTATAGTTTGACAAGTAGAATTCAGTTCGAGGTGTCTCGCTGGAAAGAAAAACATGAAGTTATACTCACTGACAAAGGAAAAAAATGCTAAACAGCCATGTGACAA